ATTCTGCAACTATCCATTTGTACCTCTTAATCCCTTTGCCTTTTTTTTTTGCTGTCCCCCAAACCTCCCTCCCATCTAGTAGCCCTCTAAATATTCTCTGTGAGTTTATTTCCGCTTTTGTTGTTGTTGTTGTTGTTGATTTTGTTCTTTAGATTTCACATGTACAAGAAATCATGTGATATTTGTCTTTCTTTATCCAACCTATTTCATTCAGCACAATACCTTCTAGGTCCATCAAAGCAATATCTTTTTCCATCCTCTTCCTTTTAGTCTGTGTGTGTCTTTTTATCTGAAGTGAGTCTCTTATAGGCAACATGTAGGGGTTCTGTTTTCCTTTCCATTCATCCACTCTATCTTGTAGTTGGAGCACTTAATTCTTTTTCATTTGAAGTACTTATTGATAGGAATGTAGTCATTACCATTCTTTATTCCTATCTTTGATACATGTTTTTTCTTCTTAAAGACGTCCCTCCAACATTTCCTCTAATTCTGGCTTGGTGGTGATAAATTCCTTTAGGTTGTTTTTGTCTGTTAAGCTGTTTATCTGTCCTTCAACTCTAAATGATAGCTTTGCTGGATAAACTATTCTTGGTTGTAGATCCTGGGTCTTCATCCTGTTGAATATTTTTTTGCCAAGCCCTTCTGTCCTGCATAGTTTCCTTTGATAAATCAGCTGCCAGTCTTATGGGTTTTCCCTTATAAGTAACTACCTGGTTTTTTTTTTTTTCCTCTTGCTGATTTTAATATTCTTTCTTCGTATTTAACCTTTGGCATTTTGATTATGATGTGTCTTGGTGTGGGCCTCTTTGGATCCCTGATTTTTGGTATTCTCTGAGCGTCCTGGGGTTTTATGTCCATTTCTTTCCCCAGGTTAGGGAAGTTTTCCATCATTATTTCTTCAAACACCTGTTTGCCATCTTGATTTTCTTCAGTTATGCCGATCAGATGGATTTTTGGACCCTTAATAGTGTCCCATGTGCTCCTTAAATTATTTTTATAGTCTTGGCATCTCATGTCATGCCATTCTGATTGTGTCCTTGGCTTTTCTGTCCTATAGATAGGGCATTTGATCCTTTTCTTTATTCACTTTGTTTATTCCTTTTTTTATTCCATTTAATATACTTCTCATGTCAGGTAATGTGTTCATTTCAGATTTGTTCTCTTTCATAATTTCCATTTCCATTTTTGTTTTTTTATGAAGTTCTCACTGAATTTATCTACACTTTCCAAAAGTTCATTGAGCATCTTTATAACCAGTACTTTAAACTCTGCATCTGTTAGATTGCTTGACTCCATTATATCTGGATCTCTGTTCTGTTCTCATATGGTTTCTACTTTGTCTTCCCATTTTGGCTGTCTTTTCATGTCTGTTTTTATGTACTAAACAAAGCTCTTAAGTCTCCTGGTCTTATTAGTGTGGATTTGTGAAGTAGGTATCTAGTGGCACAGTCCTGAGAAGGGTTCAGCTGCAGGCCAAATTTAGCTCAAGCCTCTGCCGTTGCAGGGTCACCTATTAAGATTCAGCAAGCAATCCACAGATGCTATATGTATAGTTGCCTCAAAAAACCACACCGGAAACCGAGGCCAGCTGCCTTCAGTGTGAGTCTAGGTGCTGCTCAGTAAGGAGCATCTGATTTGCTGAGGATATACCTGGATGTGGCTTGGGTGGGGCCACAAGTTGCGTTAGGCAGGGCTTCAGGGAATCCTCTGGGCGGAGCAACCTCTGTTATCCAGTTTGATGACGTCTGGGCTATGGCGGCGCTGTGTCTAGCACACTGGAAAGGGCTCAACAGGGAACAATGGATACCACTGGCACTTCTGTACGGGTGAGTCTTGCTTTGGCTTTCACGCCAACCTCATTTCCCTGTGAGTCTCCGGTGCCTCCTGTGCACAGTCTAATCGGCACTGGTGCTCAGAGCGAGTCCGTCGCTGTGAAAATCCACTCGCAGACATGGCCCCTTTAAGAGGCTTCTGCCACTGCCGCAGCCTCCGTCTCACTCAGCCTCTTGAGACCGGGCAGCCCCGTGTCCTTGCCTCATCCTACCTTCTGCCATGGCAGGATGCTTTCTTGGATTTCTCCCTATGGCTTGTTCCTCTAGACCACAGGTGATTTTTCCTTGCTGCTGTTCCTTGTTTCCATCACAACTTTGATTTGGTCGCCAGAGGGGTGAGCAGAGCCTCTAACATCTACGCCATTCCCCTCCGCCCCTGTTCAGCCCCCATTCTGGCTGCAGGATTTCGGCAGGGGTGCCAAGCATTGTCTCAAACCATAACTTCTTTATCCAATTGTCTGTTGATGAGCATTTAGGTTGCTTCCATATCTTGGCTATTGTAAATTGTGCTGCCATGAATATCAGGGTGCATAGATCTTTACGAATTGTTTTGGTTTTCTTTGGATAAAACCAAAGTGCAATTGCTGAGTCAAAGGGCATATCCATTTTTATTTTTTGAGAAACCTCTAGACTGTTTTCCATAGCGGCTGTACCAATTTGCAATCCCACCAACGATGTATGAGGGTTCCGTTTTCTCCGCATCCCTGCCAACACTTATTGGTCTTTGATTATTGATGATAGCCATTCTGATAGGTGTGAGGTGATATTTCATTGTGGTTTTAATTTGCATTTCTCTGATTAAGACCTTTAGCATCTTTTCACATGTCTAGTGGCCATCTGTATTTCCTCTTTGGAGCAGTTCACTTAGGTCTTCTGCCTATTTTTTAATTGGATTGTTTTTGCTGCTGCTGCTGTTAAGTTGTATGAGTTCTTCACATATTTTGGATATTAACCCCTTATCAGATCTATCATTAGCAAATATCTTCTCCCAGTCAGTCGTTTGTCTTTTTGTTGATGATTTCCTTTGCTGTACAACAGCAGGAACATTTTTAAAATCACCCTGTTATGGATGGAATGTTTGTTCCTCCAAAAGTTATATATTGAAATCCTGCTGTCACCCATTCTTCAAATTTTGGTAAGTTGTAAACATACAGGCAGTGGCTAGGGAAAGGGTTTCAGGCTGTGGTAATTTTAGTGAGGAAGGCCTTACATTGTTTTCCAATGTATTCATTCTAGGTGTCCATGCCAGCGTGAAGATGGGCAAGGAAATCATAAAGCACAGTCCCCTAACCAAACACATCCAAGTACAGAGGCACCATTCCATTAGGGATTTAAGATGTATTCTAGTCCAGCCTTATTTTACAGATGAAAAATCAAATTTAGGTTACAGTAATTCTTAATGTCCCTTGGCCAAATTGAAATGTATCATATAAAATATAAAAGTGTCAGTGAACAAGATTCGCCATCCTCCCTGAAAGGCTGGGCAGTGATGGGTTTTGAAACGTTTTTTAGCAATTTTCCAAGCTCGGTTTGGGGGTGGGGTGAGGAGTGGTCGCACGAAGTCCGGGTGCCAGAGACGCACCCTCGGCCCCTCACCCGGGAACCCGCGGAGCCCTCCGGCCGGGGAGGGGCGAGGCGCTAGTCCTCGCGTCCAGAGGAAAACGGGGCATTAGCTGTCTCTTTAAGAGGCTGAAATTAGAAACATACCAGTTGGGCAATTTCACTACCCCTTCCCACGCGGTAAACCCTTTGAGGACATTCCTCAATCGAACAAGGGAAAATCATTTTGGGGGGAAAAACAGGCTAAAATCCAGCATGTTTTTGTAGTGCCCACAGCAAAAGGAGGCTCGGAGCGCGTTTGAAACTCCGGGAGTCACAGAGCTTCAGGACCCCGGCCTGGGGCGGAGCAGCGAGGACCCGGCGCTGGGGCGCTGCGCGCGGGATGCACTTCCGGAGTTGGCAGGTGGCGTCAGCGGAACGGGCGGTTCGGGCCTCAGCGTAAACAAGGGCTGTCGGCCCCTAGAAGTGAGCTGGAGGCGGGGCGGTCGGGCTGGAAGCTGGTACTGGCCCCCGGCAGACCCTCTCCCGGCCCCGTGCCCTCGCCGCCACCCCCCGCGGTGACCACGCTGTCCCCCTCTGCGACCCCGCTGCCCCGGCAGCCGAGAGACACTACTCGCCGAGGGGGCGCGGGCGGGTGCGAGCGCTGAAGGAGCTGCCTCAGCCCTGTCCCTTTCGCCTCCGAGCATTTCTTCCTTCGCCTTTGTCTTTTCCCCTCTTACTGGCGTGGGGATTGTTGAAAAAAAAGTGCAGCCTCAAGATGGCTGATGGCAACGAAGATGTGCGGGCGGACGACTTGCCGGGGCCAGCCTACGAGAGCTATGAGTCCATGGAGCTCACCTGCCCCGCCGAGCGCAGCGGCCACGTAGCCGTCAGCGACGGGCGCCACATGTTCGTCTGGGGCGGCTACAAGGTCAGTGTGGCCGGCCCGCGGCAGGCATCTCTTAGCTGTGACCTGGGACCAGGTCGGCGGGCCAGGCGGGCAGGCCCGAGTGGCCGCCTCCCGCATCCCCACGTCGAGACCCTGCCCGTTGGTTTGTTTTTTTGTTTTTGTTGTTGTTGTTTTTTTTTTTTTTTTTGCGTGTGGGAACCTTCCCACGAGTCCCCCAACCCGTCCCAAGGCTTCTGAGTGGTTGTCACTTAAACCTTCTCAGAAAGCCCGCTTTCCTCCACCTACCCCCAGGCGCATAGCTCGAGGCGGCCCGAGCGTTATTTAATGGGAGGGTGCGCTGGGCGGTGCGTGTCTGCGAGACATATTTTGGTTAAAAAGTGTTGGGGTGTGTGTAAGAGAGTTGACGATGTGTGCCGTCACTCTTACCTATTTTCGGGCCAAGCTAGGGCACTTTGCCCTCTGGAGCTGGGGTAACTCGCCTCACCGATACCGTTGGCCACTTACGGGGCGACGGAGGTGTAGGAAAACCCCCTGGAATTCTGAGAGGTTGCAGAAATTGCCTTAAGCAACCTTTCCGCCTGTTGCGGAGTCCCAGCTACACCTGTGCAGATGGCCATCACACTGAACATTTCAGGGCTATTTTCCTTTTGGTTGCAGCTGAGAAAGGGCTGAAATTTTCAGAAGAGATGCCTGTTAAGAAAATGAATTGGAAAAACTCAACTAGTAACCAAAATAAATAAATAAAAATTATAACTATAGGGTGCAGTTCCTTGACCCCAGTCATAAACAGTGTAGTTACCTTTCTCTACCTCTGACTGGGGACTCCTACCCGAGTCTCCTAAACCTTTTGCTCACTAGTTCTCTTGCTTTTTTAGAACTTCCCGTTAACACTTCATGTTATAGAATTGTCTCATTTCATTTGCTGGAGTGGCTCTATCCATTTCTACCAAAACTATTCTTTTTAGTCCTTTTTGGTCCTAAAAATGATCTTCTCCCAATTGCCTGAAATCTAGTCCATGACTTGCTTTGTGACTCTGACAGTAGATGTCAGCTTATGGTGCAGTTGACCTAATTATAGTTGACCTCTTCTGAGATGACTCTGAAAAGATAGATGGGAAAAACTGCTGTAGCTGTCTTGACTACTTAATTTTGTTTAATCACAAAAGTGTACACACACCCACACACACCCCTTTTTTGGCTAGCCCTAATTAATTTGCAGTGTTTTCTGTAGCCCCCAGTGAATGTTTAGTGGGTACTTAGTTAAGCGGAAGTGAGTAGGTATATGGTGACACTTATTAAAAAGTAAATAATTCCTTTGGAGAAAAGTAAATCTGTTGGTCAGTCACAATTCATCTTAAACTACTTTTATTCAAATTTCTGTATGTAAAAATCAGCATTGAGGGAATGGGACTTTTCTTTGATTGTGAGGAAGAGAGTTGTCACAGTGGAATATTTCTGATGGTGTTTTTGAGGGTCCAGAACAGGCTATCTCCCACATTTTGGCTAGAACCCTGAGAGTAGGCACCGGAAGTGCCTGGAGATTGTTTTGAAGGCAATAAACCTTAACTTCCTACACAGTAGTCCGTTTTCCTCCCTAGGCCAGGCTGATCTACTCCAGGTCAGCCTGCTGTGTCTTCTAGCTTTTCCCCTCAGATGGGGTGGAGTGGAAAGCAAAATGTTTACATGGTAAACTGCTTTATTCCTGTATAATACTCAAGCTTATTAGACTGACACCCATTCTCAGTGACCTGCAGTTGTTTACTGTATGTTGACATTGTTCAGAAAGGGAGGTTCAAAGGCTAGAGAGGTCAGTCAGTGGTTGAAGTTGCAAATTCAGGGAAAGGAGGCTGAAACCCTGGTACCACCATATTTGCTAAGTAACCTTGGGCAAATTATAAACCTAAAACCCCCTCTTTTTTTTGTAATATCAACTACTTTTTAGGGTTACTGTGAGGATTACCTAAGCAATCCATTGATAACATTCAACTAGGTCTGGCATATGGTAAGCTCAGTCTTTTAAGAGTTATTACCTGAAAGGAAATGGAGCAGAACAAGGAACTTAAAATTTTGTGTAAGGAGTTAATATTTGCATATTTGCAGTTCTACCCTCTGCATCTTGGTAAAGAAAGAATAGCTAGAAAACTGTACATCATGTGTTCGTATGGGTCAGGCACTTTCAAGGTAGACCTTTTTTTAGTCTGCTGACCATGGCACATGTAATCTCTCCTGAAGTCTTGCAGTTGACATTTGGTGCATCGTCTGTTCATGATTAAGTGGCTTTAGAGATTTCCCAGTGATATCTTAACTTCCTGTACCACTGCACCTGCACTGTGGCAACTGCTCTATCAAAAATTTGAATTAGGAGCTGTCTATATTAAGCATTACTTTGAGTATGTGGCATGGGGTGGGGAAGATTGTGCATTTGATAGAATTCTAAGTCCTATTTAATTTTTCATAACAGTATATTAAATATGAAAAATCACAGTAGTGCCTCTGTACAATACCAATTATTTTTATATTTGCTTTTTTTTTTGGTTCTTTTTAGAGTAGTAACCAAGTCAGAGGATTATATGACTTTTATCTGCCTAGAGAAGAATTGTGGATCTACAACATGGAGACTGGAAGATGGTAACCATGGATATTATAAGGGGGACTAAAAAAAAAAAAAAAAAAAACTCTGTAAAACCCAATCTAATGAATAAAAATATTTTACTTAAAGATGCTAAGCTGTCTATATGTTCTGTAAGGAATATTCTGCTAGTTTAGTTTAGCTGCTAAGCTTAGATACTTTAGCATCTCTTCAGAAGTAGTTCAGTAATTATTAGATGCTTTTATGACCTCTGAAGAAATTTTTATTCAGGGCTCTATAAAGTATCATAGTAATATTAAAATAAGTAGAGGCTTCAGATTCTGGAATGGAAATATAATAAAAGTTCCATTCTTTTATGTATTTTTTCAAAATGTTAGATCTTGTTATACGGTACCTTGAATGAGGCAAAAAATTCATGACTGTATCTGCTAGAAATAAAGGTGGTATTTTAATGAGCTCTAACATTAAAATTTCTATGCGGATCTCTCTGAAATAGTATGTTTTGTTTAAAAAACAAAACTTAAATTTGCCTTCCATACAAACGGGATATTCTGAAAGGATCTTTTGCTACTCTCATAACAGTGGTACTCAAGAGTATATCCTTGGTAGAATTAATGTGATTCTCAAAAGGCTGGGTTAGCCATGTTTGAGGATTTCTAATCTTCCCCCATGGTTTGCCTTTTGAGAACTTCATGCTTTACATATGCTACATATTACAGATCTCACAACTAGAACAGTATTCCCACTTGGTTTTAAGAGTTGAACAAAAAATAAGGGTTATTTCCACACATAGCAAATCAGTGTTAATCTGTTCGCTAATCTTTTTCTAGAAAATTGGAATTTTTTATAATAGTTTTCCTTTAATGGGGAATTTTTCATTTAAAAAAAATTCAGCCCTATAAAGAATTTTTAATAGCCTGCCAAAACTTATTAAAACCTTAGCATAAAGTGATATTGTGAGCAGACCTTGAGTATCCTATTAATATTCTGAATCTTAGATTTCTTTGTTTTGATATAGATTCATTTTTAGATTCAGAACGAGTTCAAACATGCAAAGCACTCAGGCACTACCTAAGTGTCTAGTATTACATAGGTCTGAATCTGAATCAGATTCATTTGAATGGCTAGAAGTGACTGAATAAAACACCTATTAATCTGTCAGGACAAGGAAATTTCCTTTTGGGTTCCTGGCCTACTGAAAAACAAAAACAAAACCACTTATGGCCATGTAAATAAAAAGCAAACAATTTAGTTTGAAAACATAAAGTGGTATGCTCCTAGAATAAAATATGACGTTGAGGCTTTTAGAACTGTGCCTGTGTGTAGGACCAGTTGGCAAAGCCTGTGGAATAGTAAAGAATGAAGAGAGTTCTTTGTATTAATTTGAGACCTAGATGAGACCCTAGACATTATCAAGTCGGCCTGTTCATTTTATTCTCCCCACCCCCAACCCCCCCTTATTGTGGGAATATAGATAGAAGAAAATAAGAGTTTTGTATTTCTTTCCATTTGGGAAGCTTATTTACATTTAGTTTCTGTCCCCCTCAGGAAAAAAATAAACACTGAAGGTGATGTTCCTCCTTCTATGTCAGGAAGCTGTGCTGTGTGTGTAGACAGGGTGCTGTACTTGTTTGGAGGACACCATTCAAGAGGCAATACAAATAAGGTTAGTGTTTCTAAGGATTACGGTTCAAGGCAATCTCATTCTTTTTCAGACTTTAGACTTTTAAGGTTAGCCCGTAGTTATTTCTGTCCCAGTTATACTTGATTGTGGTAAGAATGTGCACTTTAGTATTTTGTCTACCAGTCAGTATTTACCTAGGCCTTTTGTAAAATCAACTTTGGTTGGTAATCTGTGTGCAGTAACTTCCTAGGTTGTTTCTCTTTGTATTTTGTTTGCAGCTGCTTATTCTCTTAGAAACTTGAAGTGTTAGATGAATAGTTGTAAAGTAGATGAAAACAAGATGCAATGAGAACAGGGTAGAAATTAATACTCCACCACTCTGAAAGCCATAAAGATAAATGAACACTGAATATACTAACATTCCTATGATATGGCACCATAACATACTCTTGTTCAGACTTTGTCCATGTTTTTTCCAAATAGGAAAAAGAAATCACTTGTTCTCTCAGGCCAGGGAGAGACAGATGAAGTCAGAAAGGTGCATATGATATAGGTAGACTCTTATAAATTCATTTATTTGGCAACTTACTAAGCATTTGAGCACTTGGTTAGACACTGGAGACACAGATGGATGAATGATACAGTCCGTGCCTCCTGGAGCTTACATTCTAGAAGGGACACATAATAAGTAAATGATTTCAGTAGCATATGATGAAGATACATAGAGCCTGGCTCATATTAATAGCTCAGTAAATATTGTTGAATCTGAAAAGGAATCCTTGACATTTTATTTGGTAGGATGGAGAAACAGAAAAAGTTGTCTTCACCCAAGTGGTGATGCTTGAATACTATAACTCGAAGGGGTAGCCAGGATGGAGGTATTAAGATGCAGTGGTATAAGCAGATGTCTTGTTTGTGGAAATGTCAAGTGGATCAGTATAAATGGAGCATATGGTTGAGGTGGTTTCAAACTGCAATCCTAGGAACTGTAAAGATTTGAGATAACTTGGGAGGAGCATAACAGTGTTAGGTGGGCTCCAGTCTGCCCCTTCCTCCTCCATTTTAGTAACTGTAGCTGTTTGTTTTTACAAGGCTTTTAAGTTCTGTTTGAAGAAAAGACTGCCTAAAAGATTTGGTGAGGCAGTGCTATAGGCTGTAATTGAGCCATGTACTTTTTCAGGGCCATGGGAGAGAAAAATAACTTTGGGAAGGAAAGAAGCTGTGGCTTTAGGTGGTGGTCAGGGAAATAGTAGGAATTTTATGTCAGGTGACTAGGGTTGATTATTTTAAGTTCGATCACAGGGAAGCTTAAGAGTCTTAAATAAAAAATATATACAGTGGTCAGATTTATTCAAGTACCTGGATGTGAACTCTTTGATAGACCAATACTCAATCTTTAAAGATTTATCCTTAGCTCCTAGAGTATAGTTAAGTAGGCACTTCAGGTGTGTTTGTTAAATCGAATCTGAAGGTGAAATTGCTAAGTCTGATTTTTTGGTAATACACTCCTGATAACCTTAAATTAGATCAGTATAACTCAAAGTGCCTATCCAAAGCACAGAATGTAAATCAACACACTTCCATTCCTTCATTAAAAAAGTGTGGCTATGGAAAAAAAGATTAGCTGAATTAAACAGGATGCTTAGTGACTTAAGTAATTTATATTCTGGCACAAGTTCCTTATCTATATTCAGACCAGTAGTAGTTTGTAGACTGGCAGCCAGTCTGGTCATAGTTTTAGTAGCACTGAATTAGATGACATTCTTATTATCATAAATCACAGTAAAATTAAATGCCAAGGTTGAATTTCTTTCACATAACCAAATCTAACTGAAATTATTGCTTCTGACAGTTCTATATGCTGGATTCAAGGTCTACAGACAGAGTATTACAGTGGGAAAGAATTGATTGCCAAGGAATTCCTCCATCATCAAAAGACAAACTTGGTGTCTGGGTGTATAAAAACAAGTGAGTTAGCAGCATTACAGGTTTGGTTTTTATGTGGAAAGTGGTTTGCCATTCAAGTATCCTTAGCCAATAACTGTTATAGCCATAGAACATATCTTCTAGGGCCCATATGAGGATTGAGTTAATACATCTAAGCACTTAACAGCACCTCAGATATAACTGTTAACCATATTAGCCATTATTATTTGAATAAGTATTTTTGTATACTCAAGTGTGACTTCTCAATTTATAGGATATGACAAAGTAAGAAAACTCTCTTGTATCCTAACCTGTGGATGTTTGAATTTTCAGTGGTTTTTTTTTTTTTTTTTTCTTTTTAATAAAACAGGTTAATATTTTTTGGAGGGTATGGATATTTACCTGAAGATAAAGTATTGGGAACTTTTGAATTTGATGAAACATCTTTTTGGGTAAGTGAAGTTTCATATTTGCATATGGCCTACTTAGGGTATTGAAATAATACATTTTATTTGCTAGTGGTTTTGTTCATTTTACCTTATTAATCAGATAAAGGCTGTATAATTTTGTATTATTTGCGAAATAACTCAGAGATTCTTATTTCCTGTAGAATTCAAGTCATCCAAGAGGATGGAATGATCATGTACATATTTTAGACACTGAAACATTTATCTGGAGCCAGCCTATAACTACTGTGAGTTATTGAAGAGTGATTATTAAAGCAATGCTACTTAGAGAAGGGAAGTTGGAAGGTGGTATAAAATTGACAGTTCCTTCTTTTCTGGAGAGAGAAGAGCCATAGCTTTCATATTCTCCAAAGAATCTAGAACTCATAATAAGTTTAATAAACATAGTAGCGACTAACCCAGTATCTATCATTTAATAGATGCTAAATGGTATTGTTCCTAATAAAATAAATGACCTAGCACTATATTGCAATTTAAGTTACTCAAAATCAGATTTCTTTCTTCTCTGATACAGATACCATATAATGTGCCAGCTTTTATTGTAAAAGATAAAACTAAAGCAAGCATTCCATTTATTAAACAGCTCATTCAGTAATATACCTCAAAAATATAAAACAAAAATTTCCAGTTTTGGTGGACAGCCTTTAGTATTGCTATTGACTAGAAGTCTGCACTTCTGCTTAAAAGCTCAAGTGTCTTGCACATTCTTATCCCACATCCAGAGAAAACTTTCTAGTAATTATAAAAAGTTCATGTATTTATTAAATTGCTTATATGACTTTAATAGGGTAAAGTACCTTCACCTCGCGCTGCCCATGCCTGTGCAACTGTTGGAAACAAAGGCTTTGTGTTTGGAGGCAGATATCGAGTGAGTATATAGACAGTTTATAGTACACAGAGAGACAGTATATTGACTTGCTTTTGCACTATTCAAAATGATAACTAACTATCCTTTTTTAGGATGCTAGAATGAATGATCTTCACTATCTCAATCTGGATACATGGGAGTGGAATGAATTGTAGGTATCACTTTAGATAATTACTTAGAAAAGTTCAAAATTTCAGTGGCTTTTTCCTTATTCTCTATTATTAGTATATAATGTACTTGCTTAAATTTTCTGTAACTGAATTTAAGTAAACATGATCACTAGATCCTTAATGAGGAATTTATTTCCATTTCCCATAACTGTGTGTCTGGCACATAGCATGTGCTCAGTGTTTGTTAAAAAAGAAAAGGTCTAAAGATGACTCCAACTTCAAAGAAAATAGTTCATTCTAAAGCATGCAGTTAATACCAAGATTTTAAATTTAAAATCTTTTTAATTCGATATAAATTTTAAAAGAAAACTTCATTATTCCTCTGCATTAAATACAGTAACTGCTTTTAAACATAGATATTTTAACTTAGCTATTATTTTCAGAATTCCACAAGGCATATGCCCAGTTGGCCGATCCTGGCACACACTAACACCAGTTTCTTCAGATCATCTCTTTCTCTTTGGAGGATTTACCACTGATAAACAGCCACTAAGTAAGTCCTTTGAAAATAAGAAATCATTATATATTATTCACATATAATATATAGTTGGAAAAATTAGTCTCTTTTAGATATCAGGGCTAGAGTTGATCAGAAGGTTTGCTATTAATTTTGATCCTATAACAGGTACCTGTAATTGTTTTCATATTATGACATATCCATCCTGTAAAGAAATGACCTGGAGGACTTGAAAACCCCACTGAAGGGCTAAGACATGCAAAGGGCTTAATTGGTTAATTGCAGAGAGCAAAAAAGGAAATATACTTTCTGTATCTATTCATAATCTGACTTATTACCTTTCTTGCTAAAGCTGTGCCCTTTAAATATCAATGTCACATTGACAGAATAATACACTTCACAGCTCTTTTCTATTTTAATCAGGTGATGCTTGGACTTACTGCATCAGTAAAAATGAATGGATACAGTTTAATCATCCCTATATTGACAAACCAAGGTATGAACTATTTAAAAAAAGGTAATTCTTACAATGAGGTCCACAGAGGTGTATAAGACTGAATGATTGAGGAAATTTTGGCTGCATTTAATCTATCATTCTTCTAATAAATATCCTAGCATTCAGTAAGTTTAAACATCATACCTTTTGAGAGAAAACTAATGTTATCCTAGTATCAGCTACTCTCTTTTTGGTCATCTCTGTATGAAAAATAGGGCTGAATTTTGATTTTTACTTCTTCCTTTATCATAAAATTACTGATAGTTGAAATTTATAATCAAGCTCTTTACCTAAGTGAGTTGAACTGCATCTAGGTCTATCATTAAAAACTAGAAATTCAAAACCTTAAAGAATGTATATGAAAAAAAGAACTTTCAATTAGATTTGCAGAGTAACCCTGTATAACAATAAAGATTAAGAAGTCAAACAATCAAAGAGCCTATTAAACACTGATATTTTTGTTGTTAATCTCAAAGAACTTTTACAAAGACTTCTAAACAGAAAAGGAAATGAGATAGTCAGAATTGGTGTTCAAGGCACCTTTAGCTTTGTCAGCTTGCATTTTTTTCTAAGCCTCTCACCTAAGTACTGTCATGCCACTGAGACTTCATTTGGCACAAATAATTCTTTCTCTAGAATTACCAGGCCTTTAGATACTTTAGTTTACTCATGAAGATTTAGCATCTCTCAGATGTTTTGTGTACGGCCAGCTGGCCTTATCTATGAAAAGAGGAAGAAGAAGAGGCCATATACCACTCATCTCCCATAAGATTTTTATTGCTAACAAAGACTAGAGAACAGTCCATTCATTTCAAACCCCTCATTGCATGAATTAGGACTGGATCAGAGAAAATGATAACATCCAGATAAAACAGACATTTTTCTAACTTTAGCTATGTTTCCTTAAGATAATTGCGTCTCACCTTCATGTTTTGAACTAAAGATCACTAGTCTTTATTTCATCATTTCTGTTCTGTAGTGTAAATGATCAATTTTGGTGTTTTGGGTGACTTCAAACTCAAGCTTTTGTTTTAAATGTAGATTATGGCATACAGCTTGTGCCAGTGATGAAGGAGAAGTAATTGTTTTTGGTGGGTGTGCCAATAACCTCCTTGTCCATCACAGAGCTGTAAGTATACTACCCTGTGTTAAAGGACAGTTCATAATGCTGAAATTTACTTGTGGAGTACTTGCTTTTTAATGTGTTCTTATCTATTTTTCAGGCACACAGTAATGAAGTACTCATATTTTCAGTTCAACCAAAATCTCTTGTAAGGTGAAGAACTTTTTACTTGGTGTTTAGACTATTTTAAATTGCATTTCTTAACACTTTCAAGTAATGCTCTTGAAAAACCTGGTTTATGGATAATTTAAGGGCAATAACAGGTTTTCATTGATACAACTAACCAGTTCCTATGAAAATCTTTAAAGAAAATGTTTAATAGTTTTTTAAGTGAATATACTTCTAAACAGTAAAGTGAAATTATTTTTCTCTTTCCTTGTTCACGTTCAGGCTAAGCTTAGAAGCAGTCATTTGCTTTAAAGAAATGTTAGCCAACTCATGGAACTGCCTTCCAAAACACTTACTTCACAGTGTTAATCAGAGGTTTGGTAGTAACAACACTTCTGGATCTTAAGACTTCAGAGATAATGCCTCTGATCACCTTGCATGGACAGCAATCCTGTAAACATCAGAGAGTGGCACTGTTTGTATAATTATATGCATTGTTGTAGTTTTGCAGCTTTTTGGTTTTAATGTGCATGTGAATGGCCTAGAGAACCTATTTTTGTGTCTAAAACTTTACAATAAATGTATTTAACACCAGTAACTCTCTTCTATTAAAACAAAAGAAAATACTAGGGCTTTTTATCCCCAACAAATGATTATTATATTTCCTTTTTGGTAATGTCAAGATATATATCTGTAGAAACATTATACTTTTTAAAAATTTTAGATTTTTTTCATGGCGAGTGTAGTCTATTGTGCATTCAACACTAGGCTACATAATTACATTAGTTTTTTTTTTTTTTTTAAACATTTCAAGTTGGAAAAATAGGAGGACTAATAAGCTGGTAAAAGAAATTTTAGAAAGACCAACAGCCGTTCAGTACTTTGATCTTAATACTTTGGTATAGGGGCTGGGGTAAGTGGTCATGTTGACTATAGACAGCTGTTTTCTGATCATTTAAAAAGTAACTTTTGTGGCTCATAAAAGAATGGAAATAAGGTATGACTATTCTCCATTCTGTCAGAAGAAGAAAGGTCGGTCAGGAGTCTTCAGTGGTAAGCCTAAAAGTGCACTTCTTATATTACAGGTTAAGATATTCTGTAACATGCTACTGATAAGTTACTAGAGGTGGAAAATAAAATGGTACAGAAATGAATGAGTTTACAAGAAAGAAGACAAAAAGTGAAGGCGTATGAATGCATGGAAATGATCATTTTCTTCTTGGTGCTGTTTCTTAAACTGAGTCATGGGAATTATCTGTATTTTAAATCTGGTCTAATATACTTTTGACAAGTACAGGTAAAGGCAGAAAGAAATTTACTCCTTCAGTTCTTAATCTTAAATGTTTAACTGCCTCCATTCCCCACCACCACCAGAAAAAAAAAAAAACTTGTGAATGGCCTGTGAGTCAGAGATATATTAGCAGACTACCAAGTCAACAGTCTAAGCAATTGAGCCATTTCACTATGCAGTTTCTTTACAACATGAAATGAATACTTACTATTAACCTCCCAATTTCAAGGAAATATAGGAGAATTAATTATAGATGTATATAATTACCATTTATCTGTCCACAAATATTTTATGAAATCCTATCATAGACAATGTCTCTTCTATATAAAACTGGAAGAAAACTAAGTCCTTTTAGCGAATACAGCAAGGCAATGTTTAGTTCATTTTTAAATGCAGAAGTCTTGTTACGTGGTGTTTTCATCTCTGAACTTCCAAAAGGCTATAAAATGGCTCTTCTCAAATATTTTTAAGATTTCATTTCAGCTATTTCCTTTTTACATTCAGAAGATTGGGTGCAGACACTTTCACTTTGCCAGGAATGTTTCTTGATAAATCCGTGTCCTAAAAAAAAAAATTACTGAATATCTTCACGTTCTATGTGGTCAGTCATATTTCTTAAGACAATTATGTATCCTCTGCTACCAAAAGAAAGGGATTTCCAAATTTTCACCTGAAATTTTACTTATTTTATACTGCTTTTCAAGTAAGACAGCATTTTCTACCAAAATAATAGCCGCAACTTGCAACTACTAAGTGAAGCAAGAACAAAAACAACAAATTATAACTGCTGCCATTTTTAGTTGCAACACCAACCTCCAGAAAGTTATGGAGAAATAATTTACCTTAACACTGCGGAATAAGTCTTTTTCTCTTGCTGTTGCTTCTTTAGAATGCATGAAACTATTCAAGGCTGTTTTTGCAGCTGTAAATAGAAAATAGAAGAATCTACTTTTGTTCAGTCAAGAAATATTTAAAATCATAATTCAAAAAAAAAATTTAAATACCTTTTCCTTTTTTCTGAACTCCAGGAGTAAGTTTCACTTTGTATCTTTAAAAAGGAATTGCATATGTTACTAAAGAGAGATTATAAAACAATTCAATCATTATTGTCTCAGCTGTTTTGAGTAAACTAGTGATGACTTACTTATAGTTTGTCATGGTGGTGTAAGGGGCACATATTGGAATGGCAAACAGTAGTACATCTTCAGGATGTGGCTGCCCTGTCAAAGAATCAAACAGGTTTTCCTAAAAAGGGAAAACAAAAACAATTACTAAAGTAATCCGCATCAGTTCTAAAAAAGGAAAACTCTAAACTTGTCAAATTGATATGTCAACATATTTTTATCCTTTTCTGATAGATAGTCTTAAGCTCTACTTTATAGCTCCAAAGTGTTTCAGACCAATGGTGTTTAAACATATTCTTTACTACTTATAATTTTGCCTAGCATAAAGAGAAATGACAACAGTGATTTTCAAAATAGCACCTGTAATACATTTAAGAGAGAGGGAGAAAAAACTTGTTGGATATAACTCAAGTTGCAGAAAACTACTATGGATTAAAATGAAGCACAATAATGACCACGAATAGATTTAAATCCATTACAAGGAAATGGGACTGATGCTTTGGCTAGACCAGTAGTTCTCAACCATAGGGTTTTGCCCCCCAAAAGACACTGGACAATGTTTTTAGTTGTCACAACTTGGGGAGAATATGGGGGGGAGTGGGGTGGGTGAGGGCACAGTGCTACTGGCATCTAGTGGGTAGAGGCCAAGGATGGGACAGCTACCCACAACAAAGAATTATCCATCCCCAAATGTTCACAGTGGTGAAGTTGAAAAACTCAGGGCCAGAATAGCCTTCTCTCTTGCTTGTTCTTAACGAGAAACCCTAGGGCTTCCTAGAGTTCCCATTTGATGGGCTGTCTATAAGACTGCCCATATTTAAAAACAAGTAAATTTAGAGACAAAATGCTTGGTACTCAGGTAGTGTATTTACTATGAACTTGTCTAAATTCTTCATATATATTACGTATAGTTCTCAAAACAATTGTCTCTTAGTAGGGACAATTATCCCCATTCTTCAGATAAGGAGACTGAGGCACAAAATGTTTCCAAGGTTACAGTTCTATGTGGCAAAGTTGGGATTCAAAACCAGAATGTCTGACTCCAGAGCCTGCAGTTTTGTCTTAGCCTTTTCAGTTTTAATTAGGAGTTGTGTGTAAAATGTTCTGGGAACTGGACTGCAGCCAGAGTGCTGTAGTAGAGACTCCAACCCAAAATCATACCTCATTTCCCTGTTGATCCAGCTCTTGCTCTTCCTGTTCCAAACAAACACAATTTAAAAAGTCAGTTATAACGTAAATTGAAATTCCACACCACTCAAAACTATGAGGAGAAACAGTGAAATAACAAGACTCACATCTAACCCATAAGATAAGGACCCCAGGATTGTGTTCTTCAATGTCCTGAAACTGAGTGAAGTAATTTGTGTGTCTAAATATTTCAGAAAGCAATGCCATTCAAAGAGAAAAAAGACTGTTCTCTGAAGTCTGAAAGTTCAGAGATGAAAACTTCCATAGAGTATGTGCTAAAGCAGTAAATACAAGGAAGATTTAAAATGATGGATAGTATTCTGTGAACGAAAAGAAGGTTAGCACTCCCTCTGACTAGGATGGAAGAGGCCCTTGGGCCTGACAACACACATATGGTTAAGACATTGCCCCCTACTTCGTGGCATTTAACCTTCATAATAAAGAAACAAGTAAATAAATAATAAATAAAAATAACATCTTTAATGAATATTTGTGAGTCTAGGGTTTACGGAATAAAATATGAAGATAACGGTAAAAATTTGAGGATCAAAATGAGTTTTAATAATACTAAACAACAATAC